GTGCGTCGTCTCCTATACGCGAGGACGGAACTTTTAACACCGAGTCTAGTGTACACCCCTGGGCAAGGCAATTACACGAAGACCTACAATGCCTTCTTGAGCATCCTGTTGGAGAGAGTCTACGAGAGCAATGGGACCCCCCACGAGTGGCCGACCTATTTCATGAACCAAGCGTGACGGACGCCTTCCTGGCGTGTGACCCTCGTGCGCTACGGGCTGGATTCTTATCGAAATCGTGGGCTCCACCTCAGTTTTCAACGATCGCTGCACAACTACCGAGCGACACGATTATTGCCGACGATTCTGACGAGGAGGAACTGATGCTACAATGCAACCTGGAAGGGTGCACAATGAAATTCCAGACCCTCCACAAGTTGATCATCCACCAGGTCCAGTCCAGGGCGCCAGGGCACGGGTGGCCACCTATCTTAACCACAGTTACACTAGATAACAAGTGCCTGATGTGTGGTACTGTATTCGCCAACGTCGACCACACGGTCCGCCACCACCGTCGATCATGGCATCAAGCTCGGTGTTTACCTAACCTTACTCGTCATGAACATGTTTACGTGCCTACTGAATCAAGACTCTGTCCGTATTCCCAGGTCTCAGATAACCACCAGCGCCAGGACGCCTTCGACAGTCTTGAATTATTTCGTGCCCATTTTGCATCCCACCTTCCGCCGTCGCCATTTGGTTCGTGGTCCCAGCCAGCGGCTACTCCTGCAGCCGCCGCGGGCGCGGCTACCCCCGCGAGGCCCTCGCCGCCTGCGGCGAGCGCGTCGTGGACTTCGTGGAAACCTTCAGACACTGCTGACTCACGTGAGCAGACTCGGCAGGCTTGCTTCCGATTGCTGACTCCGCCTCCGCCGAGCCCTGCGAGTCTGCCTGCGCGGACGCGGAGACCGCGACCCAGGGCGGAGACTACTTCTCGGGCCACCACTCCAGGGACAACTACCACAAGGGCGCGTGCTGTGCCCGCTCTCCCTGTTGCACCCGTTCATCCTCCTGCCCCTCCTGCTGAACCTGCTCCTCCTGAGCGACCCGTTCAGGATGGCCAGCGGAGCCAGCGCCAGCGGGGAGGCGGTGGCGAGGGCGTCCTGGCGCCTCCCGCGGTCCTCAGCGGGGTCTGGGAATGGTGGCAGGCAACCCAAAGGCGAAGGCTCGGGCAGGCCCCCAGCCCAGCGGGCGAAGGGCCCAGGGGGGACTATCCTTACCCCCAAGGCGGAGGGCGAGGACGACCGCATGGACGAGGACAAGGAGGACGAGGGCGAGGAGGTTCGGCGCCGCCGTCGTGGCGGGCGCCGCAGGCGAGGCAAGCACACGGACAAAGTGTGGAGCTCCAAGGACAAGAACCTCGCGGACCTTCTCTTGACAATGGCCAAATTGATGCTGCAAACCTCCCATCGTTCCAGGATGACGACGGCGGCCACGATCGACACGATCATCTTCCCGACCACGCACAAGGTGATCATCGGCGTGGGCGACGGGGTCGAGGCCTTCCGCAACAAGGTGGAGAGCCTGCGTGGGGCGGCCGACTCGAAGAAGGCGCTGCAGGAGCTGGGGGCCCCCACCGCGGGCTTGGTGATCGACTTCCTGGAGGCGCTCATGGCGTGCGACATCGGGGGGAAGATGAAGACGGCCATCGGCGACTACCTCCAGAAGGTGAACGCGGGCGGCGAGGGCGAGGACGCGATCTCCAAGGAGGACATCGAGACGGACGTCTCGCTGATCAGGCTCGAGAAGTGCTACAAGTCGACGGAGACCAAGCTCAGCATCGCCATGCGGACATGGAGCCTCCGCAAGGTGGTGCTCACGTCCATCCGCAAGGAGGGCGCGGGCGTGGTCCACACGGGCATCGCGCCACCGGGGTGGCTAGAGGAGGAAGTGTCGTGCTGGGTCGAGACGTTGAGCAAGTGAGCGCCGAGCGGATGCAGCCCAATTTTAGGCAGCCTGTGCGTTTCGTGCGGTCCAGCTCCCCTCCTCTGTTTGGCCACGCCTCTGCGCCCACACAGGCCCGCCCGACTGAGCATGCCAGCAGCAGCAGCTCACCAGAGCCCTCTCTGCCACGAGCTGCCACCAGGTTACTTGGGCATGGATTTTCTCAGGCATTACTTCAACCTCTCTCCAGCCTCCCATCGCGTGCCCAGCCCGACGATGATGCGGAGATGGACGCTGCCAGAGCACTAGGATTGGAATTAACTCAGATATTATAGAATAACAGTCTCCGCTTAGGCCGCCTGGCGCCGCTTGAGCGCGATGGAGCACGCCGCACGTTGCGAGCTTTAGGGGAGCCCCCCTAGCCACAGGCTTACCAGCAGATGGTTCCAGCGACAGCAGACTTTTTTCTTTCTGTCCACCGGAGTGCTGACCAGTTCCAGACCCTAGACGTGGTCGTATATACTCCTCCTCCTCCTCCTCCTCCCCCTCCTCGTCCTCCTCCTCCTCTTCTTCCTCCTCCTCCTCCTCCTCCTCCTCCTCCTCCCCCTCCTCAGTGGCG